GGAGAGTCACGAACCAATTAAGCAAACTAAATTGTCTCCTGCAAACTCCACTCCCCTTTCGCTCCTCTTTTATTTCCTCTGGGAGGGCCATTCATCTTCTGCCTGTGGCCTTACTCCTAAATTGACCCCTGCTCTTTAGCGGTTCGCTTCGTCTGCCAACTCTGTGCATGCGCACACTGGGAATAGGCTTCAGCTGTTCATCTGCCTCACTGATGTCTGACTCTGAAGGAAGCTGATAACTGGCATACAGCTCTGGCCCCCTCTCTGCCTACAACTCGGAGCCTTCCCCAGACTCCAGGACTGGGCCATGTTCCTCCCCAACCTCCTCACTGTCCGAATCTGCTGCCAGCTCTGCTGGTGGGCCACAACATAGGCTGTGTATTTCATAAGGTAGAACCACATTCCTTTGGATGATGGGAAGAATATTGATTCAAATATTGAGCAAAACTGTCAGTCATACGTTGGTCATGGGAAAGGAGAGATATTTTCCTTTGAATTCACCATATTTAATTTGCATGTGTTGGAATCATCTTTAACTATTTGTGTAGAAGTGATAACACACTTAATGACTGCCTTGTACAGGTTGTCCTCAACTTATAACTATAATTGAGCCCAGAATTATGGTCATACGTCATGCTGGTGGTTAAGCAGGTCATCATTTGACCGACCCAATTTTATGACATTTTTTGTGGTAGTTAAGCAGATCACCATGCTAGTAAATCAAATCAGTGGTCATTAAGAGAATGCTGTAGTCAGTAAACAAACTCCTTGTCTGAGTGGGTTTTTTTGCTTGAATCTGAAAGTAAGCACTTATTGTAAATCATGGTCACGTGACTGCAGGATGCTACAAATGGCTGTAAACGCAGGACAGTTGCTGAGCACCCCAAATTATGGTCATACGTCATGCTGGTTGGTGGTTATGGGGGATGGCCATCAGAACTTCAAATCCAGGTTATAATTTTATTTTGGGGTCTATAGTAACTCCAAATGGTTGCTAAGCGACTGGTTGTGTAAGTCAATATTTATCTATACTGTAATCGTTCACAGTTATGACGACAATGAAAAAGTAATTTTGTGATCCATCCTCACGTTTACAACCTTTGCAGGTCTGTAAGTAAAGGAAAGCTTAGATAAGATTGTAAGCACCGTCACGGTTTCACTTAGTAAGTACTTCCCTTAATGACCCTGTTGGTCCCAGTTGTAGTCGCTAAACAAAGATTACCTCTATAGTGGCCTGAAGGCCAGAGCCATCAACCAGAGAATTCTTAATTTCATTAAATTTCATTAATTTCTCACTATATATGGAAAAACAATGATACCTCTGTTTGTGTGGTATAAATACTGTCATATATAGCTTGGAGAAAAAGCATTAGAATAGAAATTGGGGACCAGATGAGTGTTACACTTTCTACATCAGCAAAAAACGTGTCCTGACACCATTTGCAACCCCATTCCCATACAGCAGCCTTTCCAACTTCTGGTTTCTTCCAGTTCTAATATGCCAAGCACAAGAGTGAAGGCAGTGGAAATAAATACATCATATATATGGCATGCTAACACCCTCTACAAGAATCTGAATGACTAGCAAATTGGCGGTAGATAAGAGTTATTGGAATTCAAGGTGGGCCTGGACTTAAATCTCTTGTGGGTGTGAAAGGATTCGAGAGTGATGACTTGCTTGACCCTTCCTTCAGGCTCAGCCAAGTCATCTACCATGATAGAATCATAACTTCCAGAATCCCCATATTGTTCTAAGAGCTAGATTCCAGCCAAATGCACTTGGGAAATTCCTGATAAGGTGAGGTGCTGGACTTTGTTTGTAGAAGCTGGATTATTTTAGCTGTTTAGGTTCAGTTATGAGGATGTTTGAAAAATCTGAACTTGCTAACTTGTCTCTAGTGCAACTTTGTCATTTTCCAGTTGGAGACAGCAAGAAGGACTCTGTGGAGTCATTCGTAGGAAAACGTAGTCATCCTGTCTTGATCGTGTTCATTTTTTCTGAAGTTATACCTACAGAAAAAGGTGTGCCCTGATATAACTCTCACCAATTTGGCAGGTTGCCAGGCTTGGAGATTGAGTTACAGGCTTCCTTGATCTGCTGGTGCCCTTTCTCCATATTGATAACCTCTGGATGAAATTCCACCACGTTTGTTTGCATGACACCTGGTAGGGCAGGTTCAGAATTTTTTTTTTTTAAGTGCAGCGTTTGCTTCCTGTTGTAACCATTTCAGCATAAATGCAGGGAACTGGGGAATTGTTAGAGAGAATTCAGTAGAAAAAGGAAGGAGGGAATAGCCATAGCCTCCCCCATAACCTCAACCCCCAAATGGAGCTGCAGATAGACTTCTAACCATATCTGGCCAGAGAACTATCCCAAGTAATGGCCTGCAGTTAAATTCAACCCCCAACCTCATGATATGTGTAGTGTTAACTACACCCTTTGATTGAAGTACAATAGATAAAGGAAGATAAGAAAGTTGCCTTAAGACTAATTCCTAAAACAAATCTATGAGCAATAAAAACTATGTCACATAAAAGAGATATGAAAGAGCAAATCCTATTGAGTTCTTCAGAAGTGCCCCCCTCATAAATTAAGTTTCTTGGGTGTGTTTGTGGAAGTAGGAAAAACCAAAGGCCATACCAACCTTTGGGACAATGGGAAAAATGGTGCTTAAAATAGCAAAGCTGTCTGTCATACATCAGTTATCAGGAAAGAGAAATTTTCCCTTGAGTTGACCACATTTAATTTGTCTTGTGTATTTAGATTCTGTAGTCTCCTTTAATTCTTTGGTTAGCAATGGGACTATAGTGGTCTAAAGCCACAGCCATTCCTGGAGCAGTCTTAATTTCATGAAACACCCTTGTTTTCTCCTTTTATATGGAAAAACAATGGTGTTACTCTGTATGTGATATAAATATTGTCATTTTATGTTTAATTTGGAGAAGATAAAAGATTCTGAATAGTAATCAGTGTGTATCAGGGTTTGGCTCTCCATCTCTGGGACCCTAATAGGAGAAGGTAGAAAACATTTCAAAAGTAATTCTTATTTAAAATAAATTCATTTGGATGACCTCAGTTTCT